CCGCTTAACTCGCCCCGTTTCGGCTCCCGCTCTTTCCGCTATGTCTGTCACATTGAACGTCTTGTCTTCCCGCAAGTTTCTTTACTCCTTTGATTTTCTCTTTATTTCCGCCTTTCCCCTTCTCGTATTTCTCTTCTCCCCTCTTATTTCTGGCTCCCCCCCTCTTCTTTTCCACTGACCCTCCTTTGGCCCCCTCCCCTCTTATTTCCTTCATTTTATCCCCCGCCTCACGAAGGCACTCGCTGTTTCTCCTCACTCATCTTTTCTGCGTTTTTTTTCTTCAAAACTTGTCCTCCCGCCTTTCAAAGCCCCCCTACCTGCTACTTCAGGTCTGCTGGCCCACAAAGGACATGGAGACTTGTTAATAATGAAAGCTTGGCCTTATCTTAGGCTTGTTCGCAGGTAGCTCTCATAACTTAATTAACCCATATAATTTTTTTAGTCTACATTCTGCCACGTGGCTCAGTTGCCTCTTAGTACTGCACAAAATCATGTGTGCCTAGATTCCTTCTTCCAGTCTCTCTCTCTGCCCAGAAGTCTCTCCTGTTCTCTCCTGCCTAGCTATTGGCCATTTAGCTCTTTATTAAAGTCATTAGAAAACGCCAACGCCTTAGGCAAAGACACTTCTTTACAGCATAAACAAATATTCCGAAACATCCACCTACCCACTTTTTTTTTGTTATGTTTTTTTGGTTTTTCCGAGACAGGGTTTCTCTGTGTAGCTTTGGAGCCTGACCTGGCACTTGCTCTGGAGACCATGCTGGCCTCCAACTCAGAGATCTTCCTGCCTCTGCCTCCCAAGTGCTGGGATTAAAGGCAAGCACAGCATGGGAGTCACTGTATTTCAATAACAGTGAAGTCCAGTTGCCAGAACCATAGTAGATTTGACTTAAATACATTTGAGATTTCCTAGCCTACTGTGGTGGAGCACACCTTGTATCCCAGCTTCTCGCAAAAGCAGAAGCAGGAGGCTTACTAGTTCCGGGCCTGCCTGAACTAAATAGTGAGACTGTCAAAAAAAAAAAAAAGCAAAAACAAAAACAAAAAGCACGAAAAACCAAAAACAGAAAATAAAAAGCAAAAAAATAAACGAACAGAAAACCAAACAAACAAAAAACTACAAAACAACAACAAAAAACCCAAACCACCCTACATAAAATTAACCCCCCAAACCAGACCTGTAATTAATTAGGAGCAAGCTGCAGCTAGCTAATCCCTGTTCCCCAGTCCTTATGACTGTTACATGGGGCCCAAAATTGTGAGTAATGGGGAAGGCAGTGTTATATGCTGTAGTCACTAGAAAACCTTGCTATAAACCTTGCTATATTTCTGCTTGCTGAGAGGATCCTGAGGTCCAGGGTGAAAGAGGCCATGATGGCTATAAAAGAAAGCAGTATACCTGAGCATATAACTCCTGCATCCTCACAGACTAAGAAATGTCATTTTTTTCCCTTAAAAGCTCGTCACATCATTTTACTGTATTTCCTTTTTTTTTTTTTTTTCTGAGACAAGGTTTTTCTGTGTAACAGCCCTAGCTGTTCTGGAACTAGCTCCATAGACCAGGCTGGCCTTGAACTCACAGAGATTCACAGGCCTCTGCCTCCGGAGTGCTGGGATTAAAGGTGTGTGCCACCACTTCCCGGCTGCATTTCTTTCTTCTTTCTTTTTTGAATGTTCTTGGATAAAAGCCAGAGGAGGTAGTGGAATATAAAATTTCATCTGCATTTGTGTAGACTTATAGCCTACTGAATTGTTTTTTAATTACAGTGTTTATTATTTTCCTTCTTGTTTATAATTATTTTATGTTAAATGTTATAATAAAATATATTAGTTCCATAAATGTTTATTTGCGTTATGGGAACAGCTAGGCCTTTTGCTTCTATGTTTGCCTGAACCCTCTTATCTTTTGTGTATAACCTTGGGATGAGGCCCTGGTGGAAGTATTTCCTTCTTGGCATTTGGCACTGTTAAATTCAAGATTTTTGTTCCCTTGACATTTCCCTGTTGTAGTCCGTGTTCTCAAGAATTATTGTTAATAATTCAGCACAGCTTTGCACACCATATCAAGGCTGATCAAGAGCAAATATAATTGAGATACCAAAAAATCTGGATAGTACAGAGATAGAGTTCAGAGAGTTGGCATTTGTGTGCACATAAGTCCAGCTTGTGTTGACAGACTGCATACCTCTGTGAGGGAAGGCCGACTGGACAGGGCCCCCTTGGCTGTCCTCTGTGAAGCCTTACTTTACTGACATACAGTTGGGTGAAGAGATTTCAAACAAACAGTCTTGCATAAACTCAGAAAGCCAGAGTCTGGGGCACTAGCAGACAAAGATGGGAGCTTTTTGGATGGGGCAAAAAGAGAGTAAAGAAACACCTACTTCTTGGATGGAGTCATTCAACAGCCATTTACTGTGTGCTAGGCCTGTGGCAGGTACAGCATTAATGAAAATTCAAATATAAATAAGATCACTCCAAAGCTCCCCCAAGGAATTCCTGGTCTAGCTGGAAAACCAGATTTACAGACAAACAAAAGATTACAAGTCAAGCTGAGTCTGGTGGCACTGGCTTGAAAACCCAGTTTTTTGGGAAGGGAAGGCAGGAGGATCACAAGTTCAAGGCCAGCTTGGAAAACTTAGTGTCTCTCTCTCTCTCTCTCTCTCTCTCTCTCTCTCTCTCTCTCTCTCTCTCTCTCTCTCATGTGTACAAGCATGTGTGTTAAGGGTTGAGGATATAGCTCAGTAGTAGAGTATTTGTGTAATATGCATAACACTCTAGCTTCAATCACCAGCACCTTAAAAAAAAAAAAGAAAGAAAAACAAGAAACAAATCCCAGGCCTACCACCACAGGTGGTAAATGATTGACAGTTGGTTGTTTGTGGACAGGCAGCAGCATAACCTGGACAAGGTGGAGGAGTGCTTACTTTGGGCTTGAGGGGCAATCCACACATGTTCCTTGGCTGGATTATAGTAAAGAAACATCCTAGTGAATCCACCACGAACTGAAAATAGCATAAATTTAAAAAATGGAATTGCTACACTTAGTCCTCTGAGAACCATAGCTTAGCAAACACAGTAGTCCATAAGACCCTCCTAGTCTTGAGCTTACTGGGAGTTGCCCATCATTCAAATCTTAAATTTGAAGTATCGTTTCTACTGAATACACATTGATTTTTGCACCATCGTAAAACACAAAATTTGTAAGTAGAATCATTGAAAATCAGGAAGTAGCAGAGAGAGAGGCCTGTGGGTGAGAATAGTGGGTATGTTTGGATACTGTGTGAATTGCAAAGGAGTTCTGTGTTATTAGAGAATAAAATGGAAAAGATAGAAGTTGAGAGCTGGAAAGACATTCAGAGCTCATGTCTTAGTGTAAAACATTAAAGAAAATTTTGCTCTGAGCCTAGTGTGGTGACTTACACCTGTAATCCCAGAACTCAACGTGATTTTGAGCTACATAAAAGACCCTGGTTCAAAATCAGCCAACCACACATCTTTCCACTTCACGTATTTGCTTTGCTTTAGATAATTATTAAGAAAAGAGATAAATATCATTTACTGAGTCCTTACTATGTGACACAAATGCACGTATCACACACACACACACACACACACAACACACACACGCACACGCACACGCACACGCACACACACACAC